ATCTTGCCTTTCTGGTGGGCAAGTCCACGTCTGGTGGTGTGTTTTGGGGTGTCTGTGGACTTATTATGATTTTAGGCAGCCTCTCTGCTAATGGGTGGGGTTGTGTTCTTGTCTTGCTAGTTGTTTGGCATAGGGTGTCCAGCACTGTAGCTTGCTGGTCTTTGAATGAAGCTGGGTGTTGGTGTTGAGATGGAGATCTCTGGGAGACTTTTGCCATTTGATATTGCATGGAGCTGGGAGGTCTCTTGTGGACCAGTGTCCTGAAGTTGGCTCTCCCACCTCAGAGGCACAGCACTGACTCCTGGCTGCAGTACCAAGAGCCTTTCATCCACACGGCTCAGAATAAAAGGGAGCAAAAGTAGAAAGAAAGGAGGATAAAAGAAAAGAAAATAAAGTAAGATAAAATAAAATAAATTATTAAAATAAAAAATAATCATTAAGAAAAAAAAATTTTTTTAAGTAAAAAAACCCAACAAAAAGAAACGGATGGATAGAACCGTAGGACGAATGGTGAAAGCAAAGCTATACAGACAAAATCTCACAAAGAAGCATACACATACACACTCACAAAAAGAGGAAAAGGGGAAAAAATAATAAATCTTGCTCTCAAAGTCCACCTCCTCAATTTGGGATGATTCGTTGTCTTTTCATGTATTCCACAAATGCAGGGTACATCAAGTTGATTGTGGAGATTTAATCCGCTGCTTCTGAGGCTGCTGGGAGAGATTTCCCTTTCTCTTCTTTGTTCTCACAGCTCCCGGGGCTCAGCTTTAGATTTGGCTCCGCCTCTGCGTGTAGGTCGCCTGAGGGAGTTTGTTCTTCGCTCAGACAGGACGGGGTTAAAGGAGCAACTGATTCAGGGGCTCTGGCTCACTCAGGCCGGGGGGAGGGAGGGGCACGGAGTGCGGGGCGAGCCTGCAGCACAGAGGCTGGGGTGACGTTGCACCAACCTGAGGCGCGCCGTGCGTTCTCCCGGGGAAGTTGTCCCTGGATCCCGGGATCCTGGCGGTGGCGGGCTGCACAGGGTCCCCGGAAGTGGGGTGTGGAGGGTGACCTTTGTTTGTACACAGGCATCTTGGTGGTGGCAGCAGCAGCCTTAGCGTCTCATGTCCAGCTCTGGGGTCCGCGCTGTTAGCCGCGGCTCGCACCCGTCTCTGGAGCTCCTTTAAGCAGCGCTCTTAATCCCCTCTCATCGCGCACTAGGAAACAAAGAGGGAAGAAAAAGTCTCTTGCCTCTTCGGCAGGTCCCGACTTTTCCCCGGACTCCCTCCCGGCCACCCGTGGTGCACTAACCCCCTGCAGGCTGTGTTCACACCGCCAACCCCAGTCCTCTCCCGCCGCTCCGACCGAAGCCCGAGCCTCAACTCCCAGACCCGCCCGCCCCGGCGGGTGAGCAGGCAAGCCTCTCGGGCTGGTGAGTGGCTGGTGAGTGCGGGTCGGCACCAATCCTCTGTGCGGGAATCTCTCTGCTTTGCCTTCCGCACCCCTGTTGCTGTTCTGTGCTCTCCTTCGTGGCTCCGAAGCTTCCCCCCTCCAACACCCACTGTCTCCGCCCGCGAAGGGGCTTCCTAGTGTGTGGAAACCTTTCCTCCTTCACAGCTCCCTCCCACTGGTGCAGGTCCCGTCCCTATTCTTTTGTCTCTGTTTATTCTTTTTTCTTTTGCCCTACCCAGGTACGTGGGCAGTTTCTTGCCTTTTGGGAGGTCTGAAGTCTTCTGCCAGCGTTCAGTAGGTGTTCTGTAGGAGTTGTTCCACATGTAGATGTATTTCTGATGTATCTGTGGGGAGGAAGGTGATCTCCGCGTCTTACTCTTCCGCCATCTTCCCCCTCTCTCCTCTTTTTCTTTACTTCCTTTATTTTTTCTCCTTTCCTCTCTTTTTATCTCCCTCTTTTTTCCTTTAGTTTTATTAAAGGTTTTTTAAAGCAAGTTCCAAAAATCATATTATTTCACCCCTGCATATTTAAAATATCTGTAAGCAATATGGACATTTTCTTATATCGCCACAATGCCATTATCACACCCAACAAAATGATCGTTTTTTGGTACCATCTAATATCCAGTGTATAACCCAAGCAAACGTCTTTCTATGATGGGCTTGTCTGAATCTGGATCTACACATGGTTCACATATTGAGGTGATTGTTGTATCTCTGTCTCTTTTGATCTAGCCCAGTTCCCTGCCCCCCTTTTTTCCTCCAATTCACTGGTTGCAGAAACTAGGTCAGTTGTCCTATGGAATTTCCACATTCTGGATCATCTGTTTGCTCCCTTGTGGTGTCATTTAATTTGTTTCTTTATCCCTCTCATTTCATACAAACTTTAAGTTAGCCCCTTGATCGGGTTGAAGTTCTTTTTTTTTTTTTTTTTTTGGCAAAACTTCTTCAAAGGTGGGTTGTGAGCTTCATATATGTCCTATCAGGAAGCCACAATGTCTGATTATCTCACATCTGGTGATGCAAAGATGAATTGCCCTTGTTCCTAATTGACTTTTCATGAGGGTTTTATCCATTGATGATCTTTGCCTGAAACAGTTATTTTCTTAGGGTCTCCAAAATGGTGATTTTCTAATCATATCATTTCTTCCACATTTATTAGTTAGATTTTTTTCTATTAAAAAATCTTTACCTCATCAGTTCAGGCTATTTGGCTACCCTGAAATACAGTTTATACAGGAAAGGCAGGATAAATGCTTATTTTTATTCCTTTTAATTGCCAGATTTCTAGATAAGGAGTTGGTGCTTTAGAGGAAGCTTTTCTTTTATTTTATTTTCACTTTACAGACAAAGAACTTGAGGCTCAGAGATGTCAAAAAAAATCGCTCAAGATCCCAAACAGGTATTAAGGAGCAGAAATGGTGTTCAAACCGATATCTTCTGGCCTCAAAAGCATATGCTAATTCTACTAAACCAAAATGTACCCCTGCCCTCAACCCCCCAGCTGCTGACAGCTGGGAGTTGCTACTGCAAATATCTCCCCCTGCTTTGCCCTTTAAGAACCAGGCTCCAAGAATCCTCCTTTACAGCATTCTGGGCTTTATAAACTTATGCAATACTCCAGAACTGTAGTTCCAAATGGAGGTGCTGGCCTGGCTAGGCCAAGAACTGAGCAGAGCCAGGAAATAGGTCACACTATTTCTATTTAGAAGGAGGGGCTTTAGCATCACAGTTTGTGTCTTAGGCTCCTGTGACAACCAAAGTGTGAGTCACTCTAAGTTATGGCTGGAGCAGATAACGGTGATCCAAACAATTTGGAGAGTTGTCAGATGTTAAGATGTCTTAACTAAGTCTCCTAAACCATTTTCCCTTTCTTCTGCCACCCCTGCTCTCTGCCATTCCAGATTTGAGGGGAGTACTTAGGTAACTGCCTAAACATTATTTTACAATTCCTAAACCTCTGTTAACTGTGTCACTGGCATCTGCCCGCTCCCCCGCCCTGAAGCCCATGGTCCTTTAGTATCTTAAAGTAGTGTTAAAGAAGTAGAGTTCACTTAGTAAATTTGGGAGATTTTCTTGGCTTTGTGGTGTCTACATATCACGGGCTTCTAGTGCTAGAGTCTCTACCTGACTCAGAGAAAGAATGTTTCTCCGGGACTTCCCTGGTGGTCCAGTGCGTAAGACTGCACTCCCAACGCAGGGGGCCTGGTTCGATCCCTGGTCAGGGAACTAGATCCCGCATGCGTGCCGCAACTAAGAGTGCGCATGCCGCAACTAAAGATCCCACATGCCTCAACGAAGATCCCGTGGGCCGCAACTAAGACCTGGTGCAGCCAAACTAAATAAATAATAAATACATAAATATTTTTTAAAAAGAACATTTCCCTAGACTTGATACAACCCAGAGGTACAAAATTTTTTTAATGCCCTCCACATTTCACCCCTCCCATCAGCATAGCAGTCTACATTAGAAACAAACAAATAACCAACCTTCAGAATTGTAGTTGGAGAGGTTTCCTGTGCTTATGGGGCTAAAGGCCCCATCTCAGCCTCTGATGTTCCATGATGGGCCTCCAAATAGGGGAGGCCCACAGTCCTGCTGTCCCAGGCCAGTACCCAAATTCCCAAATACCTGCATCTATACATCAGAAAAAAATTTATGCTATCTATATCCTTGCTTACAGGGGACTGTGATTAGTGCCATGAAAACATGCTGTCAGCTGCAACCAGCAGTCCCCTAAAGCAGTTCTCTGGAAAAAACAGGAAGGTAATTCTGTAATCTGCCTTGAAAAGATAAGGTCAGAGACAGAATCTAGATATAAAAATGGCAGAAGAGAATGAAAAAACGTCATTCAGAGAGTAGCCTCCATAAAATTATATTTAAATACTAGGCTTCCTTACAGAATGTCTGACCCAATACTATCCAGTAGAACTTTCTGTGATGATGGAAATGTTCTGTATCTGCAGTGTCCAATAGGAAGACCACTGGCCACATGTGGTTATTGAGCACTTGAAATGTGGCTCATGCAACTGAAAAAACTTTTATTGCATTTCATTTAATTAATTAAAATTAAAATTTAATGGAATGTGTAGCTAAGGGTTACCATATTGGACAATGCAGATCTGGCCCCTGTATTCTTAACTTTTTCTTTCTCCTAACAGTATATATAATTTGGGGCTGTTATAAAATAGTTAAAAAATTGAAGGTACCAATTTTATTAATCTTAGTGATGAATTTTCCTTATGGAATTAGATTCATAATGGCTTAGAAATTCTAGCCTCCTTGTACATAGACAAACTTTTTATTATGAGACTAACTTCAAGGGAAAATTAATTATGCTCAAACTTTGATTTTTAAAATTTGTGTGAATTATATGCTTTAGTGGTGATGGTTATAACAGTGATGGGAACGCACTTAATGCTACTGAACTGTACACTTAGAAATGGTTAAAATGGTAAATTTTGTGTTAAATATATTTTACCACAATAAGAAAATTATGTGCTTTATTTTCTTTCATTAGGCCTGATTTTAATTTAATTTTGTTAAAATTTCCCACTGTCCATAGACCTTGCTGAGAATCTGGTCCAGCGTGTTCCTGGCTGCAGTGTGTTTCTCTTTGGTGAGGCCGACCTGCCTGAGAAGCGCACTCTTGTCCAGAGAAGGAAACAACTGGGCTGGTTCACAAGGAGGGATTTCAGTGCTCTTAAACCTGACCTGGGAGTTGCACCTGCCCGAAGATGTGGTTTAACAGGTTCACAGTATGGTTTTGTTCTGCTTTTGTTGTTGTTGTTGTTTTTTAATTTATTTATTTAATTTATTTATTTTTGGCTGCATTGGGTCTTTGTTGCTACACACAGGCTTTCTCTAGTTGCAGCGAGCAGGGGCTACTCTTTGTTGTGGTACGCGGGCTTCTCATTGCGGTGGCTTCTTTTGTTGTGGAGCACGGGCTCTAGACGCGCGGGCTTCAGTAGTTGTGGCTTGTGGGCTCAGTAGTTGTGGCTTGTGGGCTCTAGAGCGCAGGCTCGGTAGCTGTGGCACACGGGCTTAGTTGCTGCACGGCATGTGAGATCTTCCCGGACCAGGGCTTGAACCCATGTCCCCTGCATTGGAAGGCAGATTCTTAACCACTGCGCCACCAGGGAAGCCCCTCTGCTTTTGTTTTTAAACTTGAGTATCCCGAGGTCACCTTCATTTGGTCCCTCCCACATAATACAGGAGGGCTTTAGCTGGGGCTCCTTCTTGACTTGGTTGAAGGTCTCCTCATGCCTCTTTCTTACCCATACCTTCATGAGCTGACCAGAGAGGCTGGAAGCCCTCATCATATATTCCATGAGAGCCCCCAAGAGTGATGTTCAAGATAAATAACGAGCCCTGCAGCGTGGCCACTGATGGTGAGAATGGTTGACACCAGGACAGGTCCTGGAGGCCCGCTGCTGTGCTGGGCATGAATGTGTATCCTGGGGACACTTGGTGGCTCAGGACTTGGGTAGAGCTTACTTTTAGCTGGTAGGAAAGTCTTTCAGCACTTAAACATCCAGTGTGTCCAAGTTGATGCTTACAGCTGGAAGTCAGTTCTAGAGGCACCCTGGAGACAAGCTTTTCTACACAGCAGGCTCTAGGCCAGAGAGAACAAACATGGGGAATGGTATTCTTCCTTCCCCTGGATCTCACCAACTCTTACCTCTCTCTGCTACTCCAGTCCCACTCCTTGCTTAGAGCTTACCTTCGGAAAAGGCAGTAGCACCCCATCCAAAATGCCATCCCCATTCACTGCACTTCACCATCCTAGTGCCATTTATTTGAGTCTTAATTCTTTCACCCTCAAGTATCTTCTGTAGGGATCACAAATTAAACCATGCTAGGTAACATTTTCATAGTTAATATTTTAGCCATTACTAAGATACTAGGTCCCCAAGGAGCAAGAGGTGGGCAACCATATGAAACACATTTCCCCATGGTGCAGTTACCCATAGGCTTTTGGTTACTAATCCCTGGTGCAGAATTCTGCTCTCAAACCAATGATATCTATAATCAAGCAGAGCAGTACAATGAAAACAGTGCAGGCTTTGAGGCTATGCTCAAATCCTCGCCTTGCTGTTCATTGGCCGTGTGACTTCAGAGTGTTCCTTAACTCATTGAGCCTCAGTTCCCATATCTATAAAATCGACATAATAATTATATCTCCCTCATGAGACTGTGAGGTTGAAATAATGTCTATTAAGTGCCGAACACAGTACTAAGGGGCCATTTTTTCCTTCCATTTAGAGAAAAGATTTATAAAAAAGTGTGTGTTAGTCTTTACTTATGGAAAAAGGAAGAAGCTGATTGCTCGCTGCCAATTTGAACCTCACATATTTTCCCACGATTTGTCTCACAAATGTAGAAGTGTAAGTTTGTGACTAAATTTTCAGACAGCTATTTCCTGGCTTCTAATTTGGGCCTCACTAAAGACTGAAAGGATTATTTCACAAACCTTGTCAGCGCAGTGCCCAGTGACTGGGATTACAGTCAGTGGACAGGAATTAGAAGCAGGGATCCTAGTACTAGAGAACAGAACTGGCTTTAGTGTTGGATTAGGCAGTCCCTGGAAAAACTTCATTCTCATTTCTGCATTGCTATGAGACTGAATGGGTCGGTATTTAGGGAGAACTTTAGAGAACTCTAAAAAGCATATCTGAGTTAAAGACTAAATGTTCATGTTATCACTAATCGTATTCAATCTTCTAAGAACAAACTTGGTTTGTAACTGTCTAAACCAAAGTGAACACTGCTCCCCCATCTCACCTAATGGTTGTCTGGTGTTGGGATAATCTCACCCATTTTACATTGTTTGATTGGAATGGACAAGCCATTGGGATTTCTAATTTCTTCTCTATTTTTACTCCTTGTGGAGATCTGTGATTTACATGGAGAATTTCATCAACATCTGAAAATCCTAAGTTTACTTTAAAATGCCAAGATTGGCACAAAAATGTTTAAAGATGGTATTTTAAAGGTAAAATTTGATACTGATAAACATTTAGTTAGAGGCACTCATGCTACTAATGGTAGCATCAATTGGTATAAACTTTTTGGAAGTGAGTTGGTGATGTGTATTAAGAGCTCCAAGAATATATGTAACTGCTTTGCAGAAATTCTAGTTCTAGTGATAGATTTATCTTAAGGAAATAGATTTATTCCTGAGGAAATAATAAAAGATACATGTACTTATGCACAAGTGTGTTTATCAAAGAACTATTTATAATAGTAAATACGGGAAACAATGTAAATGTTCAGTATTTGAGAGTGATTATTAAATAAGCTATACCTAGGTGAAAGACTATTATGCAAGCAATTAAGTGTGAAGGTTTGGAAGAATTTTTAGAGACTTGAAAAATACAATACAATATAGAGAGAATTTGCAGTTTATTAATTAATGCAACAAATATTTATCAAGTACCTAGTATGTGCTAGGCACTATCGTCAGTGGGGAAAATAGAATTTATTTGCCCTCAAAGAATTTACATTCCAGGGACTTTCCTGGTGGCGCAGTGGTTAAGAATCTGCCTGCCAATGCAGGGGACACAGGTTCAAGCCCTGGTCCAGGAAGATCTCACATGCCGCGGAGCAGCTAAGCCCGTGTGCCACAACTATTGAGCCTGCGCTCTAGAGCCCGTGAGCCACAACTACTGAGCCCACGTACCACAACTACTGAAGCCCGTGCACCTAGAGCCCGTGCTCCGCAACAAGAGGAGCCACCGCAGTGAGAAGCCCGCACACCGCAACGAAGAGTAGCCCCCGCTCGCCACAACTAGAGAGAACCTGCGAGCAGCAATGAAGACTCAACGCAGCCAAAAAAAAAAGAGTTTACATTCCAGTGGGGAAGGGGTGAAGAGAGCGACAGTAAATAACAAGCTTAATAAATAGAGAATTATATAGTATGTTAGAAAATAAGTGCTACAGCCAAAAAGCAAATAAAACTGTAGTTCACTCCCATCCCAGACACATGATTCCCATTGTCCTGTTCAGTTTTTTTTTTTTTTGTGGTACGCGGGCCTCTCACTGCTGTGGCCTCTCCTGTTGCGGAGCACAGGCTCCGGACGCGCAGGCTCAGCGGCCATGGCTCATGGGCCCAGCCGCTACGCGGCACGTGGGATCTTCCCAGACCGGGGCACGAACCCGTGTCTCCTGAATCGGCAGGCGGACTCTCAACCACTGCGCCACCAGGGAGGTCCTGAACTACAGTTTTTAAATGGGATAAACCAAAGTAGGCCTCATAGTGAAGGCAGTGTTGGAGCAAAGACTGGGAGAGAGGCAGTTAGCCACGTGGAGATGTGGACAGTAGTCTCAGGCAGAGAGAAAGCCAGTGTCAAGGCCAAAGGATATAAAGTAGTATAAACAGTATGATCTCAATATTGTAAAATATATGTATGCGTCTATTTATTTTATTTATGTTATATATTTGTAAGAAAAGTGTTTTTAAATTCTTAAAGCTTTCAACTTATTTTCATTATTTATCTAAATTGATTTGATCTTGTGATTACTTTCCATCATCTTTCATAAAGGGTAATTATTGAGGTTTATCAATGATCAGTTTTATAAAAGCTGGGTGTCATTGCATTTATTCAGATTGCTGATGAAAGATTTAAGATAAGAAGGGAAAAGTAGCACAGCTTTCCCCTCCGTATGTCTTTTTTGCTAATAGCTCCTAAGTGGCAGAATCCTCAGTTTGTGCAAAAAACATGAAAATTATAAGTTGCCAAGGCTAGGTAGACTGTTATTCATTGAGAGACACCTCATTTAATAGGCTCAAAGCAGATTCTAATAGAAAAGTAAAATGTTTCAGAGAGGGACAGTGAATAAAGGATATGCATAAACAGTTTCTAATATTTCATGAACAAGATTATAATTCGAGTTTAAGACACATAATCAACCGAAATCTTAGGTTACCTTACTTGCACGAATTATCTCTTAAGAAACACTTACGTAAGAAGGAGTAAAATGTTTTCATTTTTAAAAGTAATATCTACTGAAGGAGAATTTCTAGCACCTCTGTCATTAGGGTAGAAATGTTATTCATCTAATTTTTCAGTGAATTTAGTTCCTAACTATGGCGATTTCCCTCCTTATTTTTAAATTTAATGGCTTTATATATTTTTCTAACATTTTTTATTTACATCAATGTTTCTCAACATAGTTTTCCACTCCTCCCATCAAAACAGAAAAGCTTCAACACATTGCTGTATTTATTTCTTTTCCTAAAAAAATTAAATAGAAATGATTGGTGCTATCAACTGAACACTTACAGTTAACTTTCCAGTGACAAAGTAATCTACACAGTACCCAAGAGGAAGCAGAATCTATAAGGGAACAGGTTTCTGTTTTGAAGTTCCCTGAGAATATTATAAACAGAAGAGAAAAAAGTGAGCTCAGAAATGATTAACACCCATAGTCAGTGCCAAACACACAAAATCTTTTAAACCAAATTCCTTTTAAAAGTTTGTAGTTGGCCAGCTCATGAGGAACATAAATAAGGACAAAGCAGTAATAGTTGATACTTTCAGATCTATAAATAAATACTTTATACATATATATTTTAAAACCCTAAACATTTATAGGATAATTTAAACACCACTGGCTGATATATGACTGGCCTGCATATATGCATCATTGTTTAAAAATAGAGGGACAATTCTTTGAACTATAGTTTCATATGATGCCTTCGGAATCATAGATGGAGATAATTGGCACATCTTGGAATCAAGGACTTCT